TATATATATATATATATATAAATGTTTTCTAATAAAAAAACAAGCATTTTTCTTTTATCTTAACATTTTTAAGTTGCACTCGTTTAGAAAATAAAGTTGTACGATTTTTAAAAACTCTTAAAATATGTATGTCATGAAATACTTTTTAAATTTTATCAGTTTTGCTTTTTGTCAAAAGTAACCTGATGTTTGAATAAATTGTGTTTTTAGTTCAATTCCCAGGTTCACTGCAGGGTTTTGGTTTTCCGTTTGTATGTGAATATGGAGAAAACATTCTTTACATGCTTTTAAACATCTGTTATTTATTAGGATAAAATTTCTTATATCCTATTTGTTTCTGTCAGGATTCACGTTTTCCAGGTTTATTTAGTTCCTTGAGTTTATCTTTCAGATTGATTTCATGGTTTATGATCTGGGTTCTTGTGTTTCCAGTTTTTAAGTTCAGATTTTGATCTGTGTCTTGTTTTTCCTTTGTGATCCCTGTTTTCATCAGCTCAGTCAGTCAGTTTCTGCTCCTGCCCAGCCTCACCTGAGCCTCGTTGTTTCTCCCCAGGTGTCATTTATCCCTCGTTTTTGTTTCTTTTTTTATTCTGTGTCTTGTTGTTAGTGCATTGTGTTTCCACCCAACTCGTTTTGGTTCCAACCTGAGTTCTCGCTCCTCTTTGTGTTCCTTGAGTTGTACGTTTTGCTGCCACGACGGCCTCACTGTGTGCAGGTTGGCTTCAATCCTCCACAAACTGTGATAGTTGCTGAGTTAACTTTGATTTAAATCTGATTTCAACAAATATTATTGTTTGAGCTCATGGAAAACGTTCAGAATGGTGTTATTGCATTGCTTACTCTGCATTCAGTTTTGGTCATACATCTGGTTTAATTTAATATCTAATTGTTACAATTACAGAATGTATGTAATATAAGTATATGTTTAAGATACAGTTTTTAAAAATGTATGTATAGTCATGAGCACAAGCTTTATTTACACAAAATCATTTAAATTAAAGCACCGGCTGCAGTTTTCTGGCCGATCACCTAAAAAGCCTGACCTGCCGATTCCGATTTTGGTCACAATACACCATCAACGTTCAAATCCTATTTTATTGATAAACATTAAACAATACAAAATAGTTTTAACAAAAAGGGACAGTGGCTGATTTTTACATCTTTGCAAAGGTGCATAAGATCTGCTTCTCGTCTTAAGTATCGGACGATCACCCAAATTTAAGGAAATCAGTGCCGATAAATTAACTGGCCACTGATTTCACTCCTAATTTAAATATATCAACAAGGACAATAAATAAACAAATAAA